CTAAGTAGGGAGACGGGATGGGGGATCGTACTCTAGCTTCTATAGTAACAGAAATAATTGGGACGCCTGGCTGGTGCAGTCAGTTGAGCGTCAGACTCTTGGTTTCTGCTCAGGTCGTGATCCCAGGGTTGTAAGATCGAACCTGGGTTTCCAGAACCATGCGCCATCTTTCCCTCCACCATGTTCCAGGTCTTTCAAGATCAAAGGTGGTCTGGTGCTGACTGTCCAGAGTAAGCTTCAAGTCTTTGGGAAGTGAGGATAGTCGCTGGATTTTGTGCATGATGGACAAGATCGGTGGTGTCTAATTGCTGCATTTCATCTTTTTTAAGGTTTGCTTTGTAACATTTTTGAAAATAGTGTGTCTTAAAGTTGATAGCGTCAATGTACTAGATTTTTTCTTTCAATGATAAAACTAAAATAATGGTGGGGCGCCTGGGTGGCTCAGTCAGTTAAGCATCTGCCTTCAGCGCAGGTCATGATCTCAGGATCCTGGGATGGAGCCCCATGTGGGGCTCCCTGCCCAGTGGGGAGCCTGCTTCTCCTCCTCCCCACCTGTGCTATCTCTGTACTGCTCTCTCAAATAAATAAAATCTTAAAAAAAAAACCCAAACCTAAAAAAATGGTGCCTCTTACATCTTCAATATGATGTTACTATTTCTAAAAAAAATTGTCAAACAGAAAACCACGCCAAATAGTTAAATAGCTTGTTATTGTAAGGCTAACACTTTATGATAATGGATAGCTTAATAAGCTATTATGTAATTATAGGACAAACCCTGTTATACATTATACCCAAGTCATCAAATAAAACTGCCAACCACTCCCAGGATCCCCCCACTGTGCTTTTTCCAAGTATCAATGACCTCCTTCGCCCCTAGAGTAACCACTATCCAGAATTTTAGAGTTATCACTTATCTAGATTTTATCAACAAAGAGTGCTTCCCTCAATCATCTAGTTTAGTTTTGTCCATTTAAAGAAAAAATATGGAATTTCCCTCCTCATCCTTTTCCTTACAATTTATCTGTTAAAAATCCCAGGGTATAAACCTGTGGTTTCCCAGTCTGGATTGTGCTAATTGCACATTTACGTTCCTCCACAAGTTCCTGTTCTCTTCGTCCCTGCATTTTGGCAGCTGGACTGAGGCATCCCTTGGCAAGACTATACAGGATGCTGAGTTCTTTTACTGATAAGAGGCGTTAACATGTTTGGTCATCTCTCTTCGGAATATTAATGGAAGCTGATGTTCAACATCTAAATCTAGTAATTCACTAGGTGTTGTAAAATGGTGATATGATCACCTTTCTTTTTCACTATTGGAACACCAAAAAGGCGTTTCCTCTGCCCCTTCTTCTGCTATTTGGTTATCCAGTGGTACAGTCCAGAGGAAAGACAGGATAATGCTTGATATCTCCATTTCCCTCTTTTCGAAATTGTTTTTAATGTTTCAATTGTCTTTAATGTTTATGATACATTTCAATAAGTTGCAATTATCATCCTTTTTCAAGATCAAATTTAGTCATGTTTGGACCTGTTCAAGTTGGCACCTACGTCTTTATGAAATTACACAGAAGCCGGTGATAGCTTCTGTTTTAATAAGATATTCCAGGTTTTTCTTCTGTATTTCCTGCCAGACTATTTTTTTTGCCAAGATGTTCTGGTTTCCTTTGATTTAAAAAATGTATTTTAAGACTACAAACTGAGTAATGCTTATTGGTATTGGATTTTTTCCTAGGTCTCTTCAACATGTATACATTTAGCATATATGTATAATTAATATATACACTCACACACACACATTTTATATATGCTTAAGTTTCTACTTCTTCCAATTCAAATTCCTAGCTACAGGGATTAAAAAAAAAAAAAAAACCCATATCTGCACCTCCTCTTTCCCACATCAAGAATCCTGGTTCTCAATAAAACTGGGGATGAATTAAAATATCCTATAAATGTCCATTTATTCTACCCCACATTATATGCCCGACTCTAAACACTATTAGACTACCATGAGCTAAGCCAAATATTTCTGCATTTGCTTTCCTCTTTCCAGTTGTACTGTCATCTAGACGTACAGGCATTGTATACCATACTCTCTCGTAACGCTGATTTTTAATTGTACAGGCTATGTTGAATGCTGATCACTGGTCATTATGGTGTCATTTCTCTAGTTACTTTGGTTTTCTAATGGAGCTCATTTTCTCATCAATTCCTCAAAAGTTTGAGGGAACACTATTTCCCCAATCCTTACATTTTCCCTTGAGTATGTCCAAAATGTTCTTCCATTTCCTTCAAGCAAAAAGGAGTAATTGTGGAATAGTCTGATGATCATCTTTTCCCTTGTCACGTGCTGTCTTTGCCTACCCCCAGGATTTCTTCTTTAACTTTGTTAATCTTGGTGTTGCATGTTTTGGATCAATCATCTTGGATTCAAGAGTGCACTTTAAGGGGTCCCTGGGTGGCTCAGTCAGCTAAGCACCCGACTTTTGATTTCAGCTCAGGTCATGATCTCAGGGTTGTGAGTCCTGCATCAGGCTCCAAACCCAGCACGGAGTTGGCTTGAGATGCTCTTTCCCTCTCTCCCCCTCTGCCCCTTCCCCTGCTTATGCTCTATCTCTTCTGTAAATAAGTAAAACGTTTAATAAAAAAGTGCAATTTAAGAAAACAAAGTTTCAAAATTTAATTAGTAATGTTTTCTGAAATTATCATTTTCCCTTCAGAGACTATTATCTGTATATTGGACCTCCTATACCTATCTTCAATATTTGTTACTTCCCAATCTTGTCTCTCCCCCACCCCTTTTGTTCTACTTTTTACCTCCTATCTTTTAAGGCATTATCTGTAGTATTTATTTGCTTGTATTCATTCTGGTTTAACTTTCACTTCTGAAATGCTTCTTCTGAGTTTACCTTATTTAAGTTTTCCTAGTTGTTGAGTTCCTTCCTATCCTGTATCATTTTAATAACTTTTACCACATTCTCAAATGGAATGTTTTTCCATCTTCTCTGTGGGCCTTTCTGGTAGATTTTCATACCTATTAAAGATGTTAATCTGCTCTTTTTAAGTTAACATCTTAAGAGATTGATCTAAAAGATTTTTTTTTTTAAAGTAAAATTAGTGTTCTTTGAGAAGGAAGCACAGTTCATGGGAGCTTCTTAAACATCTTTTTAAAAAAGATTTTATTTATTTAGAGAGTGAGGGGAGGGGCAGAGGGAGAATCTCAAGCAGACTCCCTGCTGAGTGGGGCTCGGATCCCAGGACCCTGAGATCATGACCTGAGGGAAAATCAAGGGTCAGCTTTTAACTGCTGAGCCCCCAGAGGCCCCAAACAGCACTTGTTTTTAGCGCCCAAAGACAGTATTTTGCTGAGATTTCTTGGTCACCTGTTCCTCCTCCTACTTGTATTTCAACCTCTGCTCCTTTTGTCCCTGTCCTGCTCAGTTTTGGTCTCCTTCTCACCAGTTTCTCTTCTCTGGGAGACCCCATCCCAGAAGCCTTGGCCAACTCTGCAGATCAGTTCCAACAGCTCACGTGGCCTGGGCCAGCCAGTTCCTTCAGACCCTCCTTGCACTCACCCACCGCGGGAATCAGATTTCCTAGCTCCAACCGGGTTTCTCTAACGTTCTGTTCCCGGGTCCAGTCGATGCCCTATGGCCTCCCGCTGCTTTTCCATCTTGTGGACTGTGGTTGTCGGCGGCTCTTCACCCACGTATATTCTGCGATTTATGGAGAGTGTCACCCAAGTTTGTGGTAGTGCTGGTCACAGGTTTTTGACTTTGTTATCCAGTTGCTGTTACGTGGGGATTCAGAGATGCAAACTATGGCCTTGTTGCTGTCTTCCCTTCCTCCCGTACTGCTTTTGGAGATTTTCAGCAGTTCCATTTTCAGACTCAGCTCGAGCCCCTGGCTTGCAGGAAGCTGTATGTCTCCACTTACCAAGCCCATCTAAACGTCTGCTTCCCGTTGGCTTCTACCACTGCAGAACTGATCATTTCTTTGCTAAACCGCTTATCACTTATCCATCTGCTTCCTTGCCTGCTGTCTCTTCCTCTGTTAACCTTTATGGGTTTATACGGTTTTATTCCTTTTCTGTCATTTAAGTGGCATTTAAGTGGGCGAAGAGATAAACATTTGTAGACAATGTTTGAGTCACATTCTTAATTTGTTCTAGAACAGGAAACATTCATAGAGAGCTCGAATTTGCTTATGTTCTTTGGGTCTTTTTCAGATTGGCTTTTAATTCTTTTACAACTTTTATGCTGTTTCTTATAACTTAGGGTTTTGTTCCATTCTGATTCTTTATCCAAGAGTCCTCTATTGTCTTATTTAAAAATTAAAATTCTCCGGATCCCTTTACTTTATCCTCTGTATCTCAGGTCACGCCTTTGTGTCCTGCCAGATCCATCCTTCCTTACCTCCCACTTTCCCCCAATATTCACTTGCACAGCTGGTTCTCTTTCCAGGTACCTGCCTATGTCTTTGCAGAGTGTACAGATCACAGACCCTGACGCTTTAGGATCCTACATCAGCACGTAAGATTCTAGTTAAGGGATTTTCAGTCCACACTTTAAAAAAGACATAGTAGAAAAACAAGGCTATTTTGAAGTTTAAGAATACTAACAATATAAGTAGTTCTTTTCACAGGATATTGAAAACAGTTTTCCTTCACTGTCAGTCCATAACCCAAGCAAACCTTCAGGGGTAAAAGAGCACTGTCCCAGGTGGGCAATGATCTTTAACCCTTCCAGCTACCCCTCCCATGCCAGCAACTTTATTTTCAGTTCAACGCTGAAAGAGACAGGAAAGGCAGGGGGTAAAATTAAACCTTGAGAAATACAGTGATACCCTCCAGGATAAAAATGATTACAGAATTGTGGGCTTTTCATTTACCGTCCTTACACGTGACAACATGACAGAAATCTTTAGAGCAGATTTTTATAAATTCCAGAGGACTTGCCCAGAACATCAAAACTTCCAAAAACCATCAAAAATAAAATGATTTCTCTACTTGCTTCTTACGAAAATATAAAAAGCTAAACAAAAGAAATAATTACATGGTTAATATATAAAATGCACTCTATTTAAAAAATGGCATATGTCTACGAATTAATCTTTCAGTCTGGTAATCGCTGATTCCCAACAGCACTTCAGATTGATATTCTCTTGCAGGCAACAGCCTCCCAGCTGCCTGCGTTTATTGGAATATTGCTCTCTGAACACGCAGGCATTCAGATTTGTTAAATATATCCTCTTCTGCTTCTGGAGTTAGCTGGATGTTATCTTTGACTGGCGACAGGGGATCTGGCTTCTTACAAGAAGGAAGCTTTTCAGAATCTCTGCAAAATATAATAAAAGGAATTGGTGTTTTTAGGGTACTAATTACTAGAGAATCATCTACCTAGACCGAAGAAAGGTATATGGAGAGCATAAGACCTTTCAGTTTTTCTTAATTTAATATATGACACATTCAGGGTCTCCTCTGAGTATCGCTACAAAATTTGAGTTTTGCTTCTTAGTTCCCCTTCCTGCTCCCTAAATCACCTTTCAAGGTAGGTGCAAGGCCACTACTAAATATGTTCTGGCTAGGCAGAATGATTCCAGTAAAGAAACTTAAGTTCCTTTCTCCTTCGTACCCTTCTCAAGTCTGGCTAAGCATGAACCTAAGTGAAACACAGGGAAGGTTTAAGCCCTATCTTTTACTCCTCCCTCTGCCAACTTATTTTTTGCCTGAAAGGAGCTTAAGTCTATAAAAATTCATCCTGTTATGAAGAGAACATAGGTAATTGTATCTCCAGTCAACAAAAATCCAAGTGAGTCTTATTTTCTAAAAGGCATTGAGGAATACAATTTCTCTTCAGTAGCAGCTCTCAAAGTGTGGCCCACAGGCCGTTAAAAACTCCCAAGACCCCCTTTCAGGGAGTTTACAAGATTAAAACTATTTCATAATAACATTTAGACTTTATCTGCCTTTTCCACTGTACCGACACGTGTACTGATGATCCGAAAGCAAAACTGAATCAAAGCGACTGGCACTCGGCATGAATCAGGACACCAGCCCCAAACCACACGAGAAATACTGGCAGCAGCTGTGTTCCCCAGTTCCAGGTACGTGCAGTCCCACTAAGAACGAGCAAGGTGATGGGTAGTGGGGGGGCTCGTGTTGTGATGACTGCTGGGTGTTACCCGTAACTAACGAAGCTCTGAGCGCTACATCTAACAGTGGCTAACCGAACATACAAAGAAAAAAAGTTCTTGATGAAGTAGTAAAAATCATTAATTTTAATTAAACCTCAACCTTCTTGACTTCTTAGTACTGTATGACAAAATGGGAAACACAACATGAGGCATTCAAAAAAAAAAAACCCACAATAAAAAACCGTGGTTATTCAAAGTTAGGTATCCGGCAAAGGGCTTTGTTCTCTAAAATGAACAAAGAGGGCGCCTGGGTGGCTCAGTAGGTGGAGTCTGCCTTTGGCTCAGGTCATGATCTCAGGGTTCTGAGATCGAGCTTTGCATCAGGCTCCCTGCCCAGCAGGCAGTCTGCTTCTCCCTCTGCCCCTTCTGCCATGCACATGCTCTCACTCTCTCATAAATAAATAATAAATAAATAAATAAATAAATAAATAAATAAATAAATAAATAATTGTGTCCAGCACTTATCTACAAAGTGTTTCTGCTCATACCATCTCATCTGATTGTGGCAACATTTCTATTAGGTAAGGTTTAATCCTACCACCCATGTAACCTTCCCTTCCTCTATTCTTAGCATATTTATTTGCTCTATGGAGAAGAACGGGAGAATAAATTATAAGTTGTAGATACTCTGAGACTAATTTTACAATTTAACAGAAGTAAGTGCTGTGTGGCTCAAGGAAGGCAGATATACAGAGGGTCAGCTCTTTTAAAACAGTGTCTGCCCCATACATTAGAAATCTGGCACGATCATCATATATGCTCAGTGATTTTCCCCATTTCAGAAGTGATGATTCAGGGAAAAAAATTGCTTTAAATCAAGAAATATGATACAGCATTATCTTCCCACCCTCACATCTAAAACAACTTTATTCTCATTACAATCCTGAGACCCTCAAAAGGAAGGCAGGCAAGACACTTAGGCCAGAAAAAGTCACTTAACTATAGAACCCAAAGACAGATCAAGGACTGAGGATTTTTAGTTTGCCATCTTTTCACTAAATGAAGGCATAGACGATGAAGTTAAATATACTTAAAAAGAGTCAGCTAAAGAGAATATAGGAAAATAATTCTCTTAGGGTAAGAGAAATCATAATCGACTCCTATGAAAACAGAAAGAACTGGGAAAAATGGAAAGAAATTACAAAAAAACAATAATTTACCCTTAGAACAAGTAACAAGGAAACTCACTTTTTAAATCCAAAATTTTTCCAGAGCTCATTGATTTTTATCTGTAATCCCGGCCTGTTCTCTGCGTTATGATGATTTCTCTTCTGGACGCTCGATGTTTTCTTGCTGAGCCCACTGGCTCGGGCAGGAACCAGAGGCTTGATCTTAGTTGTAGAAAGACTGTCCATAGAACTAGATTTAGACAGCCCAGGAACCTGAAGAGTAAATGCCCCTTTTAATACTGTTCTGTTCAAGGAAGGACCTTTAGTTAATTTCGAATTACTCTCTCCACATTAAAATAGAAAAATAACCAATAAGCAATATATAAAATTTTTTTTCACTTAATATGTGTTGATTCTACTTAATAATGTATCTTGGATAATTCTCCTTTTCACACGTAGAAGTGAATTTTTTTTGAGTAGGTTGTTCAAACAGATGTCTATTGACATCGCGCTTCCTCTACCCCAGGGTTGATTTTTATCCTGTGGGAAATACGGAGCCCTCAACGTTTTATTGCTGTTTTTTAGGATAGTAAGAGTGAGGCATATACAACAAGGCTTTCAAATTGATGAAGTTGCCGGGTGAGGGATAAAGAACGGGAACAGCCACACATGAAAGATGCCATCTTGACTTAGGGTATTGGTGAGGGGGAAAAGGAGTGAGCGAGAAATAATACAGAGACAGAAGCATTAGAATTCGGATAGGTACAGACGTGTTTTTCTTTACCCCCTGCAGAAGAAGGATCGAGCTGGCAGTCACAGAGAAAAAGGACCTTAAGATTCTGAAACTAAATGACAAAGAGAATAATATAATCTTAGGTAGCAGATGAAAATAAAAAATGTTCTGAGAAGAACTGGTTTGAGGTATAACAACAACAACAAAGGTGAATTTCATTTTAGATATTAAAGATGGATATTAGGGAGCATGACGGAAGGTCCATCTGGGGAGTTTTCACCAAAACAGAAGTGACAGTAAAAACCCTGACGAAAACTTCTGAGAGCAAGAATAATAATAATGGTAATAATAATGAAATGACAGTTTAAGGTCTAGACATAACTTCTTTTGGGAAAGTACGTTCTACATATCCAGTCCTGTCACTGCAAGTAATTCTGGTATCTTTCCCGACTTCTTACTATGATTATATAAACATACACAGTGCGCATGAGCCCACGAATACTGTGAATACTTAAGCAAAAACACCGCACCATACATACTGCTTCCTGTTCTGCCTCTTTACTTAGAAAAAATATGGATACCTTTCCAAGGCAGTGTAGGTCTGAAAAGGCCTTTATACTCAAAGATTTAAAAAAGAGTCTTATATTTACATATTCTACACCTAAATCTTTAATATATTTAGGATTTATATTTTTGTAGCATGAGGTGGGGACCAAGATCTTTTCAAATTTTAGAAAAGTTCTTATGCTATTAGAAAAATAATCTGTTCACTATGGAAAAGTAGGAGAAAACAAAGAAAAAAATTCACCTGTATTCCCACCACCCAAGAGCTAAAACCAATTATGTATTTAATAATCCGTTCCCTTATTTTTAGATATTTAGGCTGTTCGCAATTTTCCACTACTGTAACCAATGCAGGATTAAGTATTCATGTACTTAAACTCTCATTATTTCCTTAGACTTGAGTTCTAGAATGCACTGACTGGGTTGAATTATTTAAACCTGTTCAAATTGCTTTTCTGAAATGGCAGAGCAATTTATACACAATTAATTTGAGAATATTTTCTCACTCTACACTCATAAAAATGAGTACAATTAAAATTAAGAATATTTTGTGAAAATCTGAGAGGTAAGAAATTATATTTCATTATTTTAATTTGCATTAATTGACTAGTTATGAGGGCCACACACGCTTTTATATATTCATCAACCATCTGTACTTGGTCTTTTGTACTGTTTATATCCCTTGTGAATTTTTGAGTTAGAAATGAGCATTTTCATATTAACGGGCAAGAACATTTAATATAACACATAAAATATGCTTTAACTTGTGAGCTTTCACTATGCAGTCAGTGGAAATATTTATATATTTTTTGATTAAAAAAACAACAAAAACCTGGCTTTTTGGATATACAGTTTCTAAAAGGTCTTTTGGCAACATATATCAAAGCTTTAAATCATATGGACCAGTAATACCAGTCCATGGAATTCATCCCTATGAAACCATCAAAAATGGTACGCAAATCCTCAGCCACAAGATCTTGGATGCAGTAGTGTCGGCTACAGTAGAACATGTTAGGGTAAATGACAAACGTACAGGAATTTGCTAAATTCATACAATGGCATATTGCCCAGTCATTAGAAGTAATCTGCGGAAGCACATGGGAAAAAGATCTTTATCCTGCAAGAGACGATAAGGGTTTCACAACTTTACCACCTACAATCAGGCATAAACGTGGCCCTAACAGGATTGAAAGTAGACGTTACTCCTGGAAATAAAAATGCAGGCATTTTAGTTTTTAATTTTGTTGATATTTCTCAGTTTCTGGTAATAAACACACACTGTTTCTGAGTTAGAAAAAATTAAGTATTTGTTTTACCTTGTTTCCTAGAAGTGTGTCTTTTTTCAAAAGCTGAGATAAACGTAGCTTGGATTTCGGATTACCTTGATTATCGAGTGACTTCATACTGCAGTCAGATTCCTAGATTCCCCCAGATTAAAAAAAAAAATTAGATTTTGACTGTGGATTCTTTATGACAACAAACCCATATTCAACAAAACGTGAAACAAGTAAAACAAGAGAATCAGTATAAATAAAAATGCAATTTCTCAGAAAAATATAAAACATTAAGTACATGAGGGGCGCCTGGGTGGCTCAGTGGGTTAAGCCTCTGCCTTCAGCTCAGGTCATGATCTGAGAGTCCTGGGTTGAGCCCCATATCAGGCTCTCTGCTCAGCGGGGAGCCTGCTTCCCCCTCTCTCTCTGCCTGCCTCTCTGCCTACTTGTGATCTCTCTCTCTCTCTCTCTCTCTCTCTCTCTCTCTCTCTCTCTCTGCCAAATAAATAAATAAATAATCTTTTAAAAAACCAAAACATGAAGTAGATGAAAATAAAACGAATCTAAGTGGAAATGGTGTTTGCCAGCTTACCTCAAGTTTCCTGTAGCTAAAGCAAGATGCTTTTAGCTTTTTAGGAAATTGTATAAAATAAACACTCTGTTTAAATTTGAAAGCTTTCCTAACCCTTTCAGGAGCCTCTCCAAGTGCTGACTCAAGGAAGACAAATCTCCTACTGTACTGTTATTGGTTTACCCAAGCCTGGTTGATAGTTTTTATAAATTACTAGTGACAAAAAGTTGAGCCAGTGTGGTCACATCTTTTAATTGTGTAACGTGTTCAACATTAAAGAAAAAAAAAGGGGGGGGGATCTGCTTTGAGGAAGCAGAGTAATACTGTGCCAAATGTAGTTACTTTTCCCAGTGACCTTGAGATCTCACCTCTGGCTATCCCATCATGTAGAGCTTTTCTACAGATAGAATAATCTGGCTTCCCACAAAAGTCACATAAAAAAGGACAATGAAGGAAGATTCAGAAGACTTTACATTCTATATTCAAGAGGATTTTAAAAAAAAATTATCTTGGGATTCTTTGCAGTATTATACACTTAAAAATAACTCCAAAGTGAAAAATACTTCATTAACTGGCTTGTAACCTTAGGAAACTCATTCCTTGCTCATACCTAACAGTTGTGGTGACTCTGGGATAAATCATTTCTTTTTCTTTCTTCTTTTTAAGTGTAGTCTACATGTTAGTTTAGGGTGTTAAATTTCTTAAAATAAAGGTCATGAGTAAGGTCCTAAGATTAATTCACCTCAAATAGGGTCAATGGACTCAATACACACAGAATCTATGGTTGTTGCTTTTCATAGTCAACTACCAACGGAAGGCTCCACTAGAGAAATATTTTCTTCAGAGCCGTCTAGTAAAACCTATTGTTAAAAATGAAGCCCAATAGTATTGTGGCTTTCTGAAAGATTTTCTGACTCAGAGAAAGATTTTATAATTTTATGTTACCTGTTAATGTTATCCTAACAATTTATTACATCTAGTGGCGAGAGAGAAAAAATGGTTATCCAGAAGTAAGAAACATGGAAGCCCAGCCCGTAGCCTGTGAGCTGGGAAGGTTTCTCGGCAAAACATGGTGAAAAGCTTACGAAGTGAAGGAAGAGGGGAGAAAAGGAATAAGAACAAACGGAAAGAGCTCAGCAGAGCTAAGAATATTCTCGTAAACAGCTGGGGATGTTTTTAGGAAAGACGTTCAAGACACGGCCGCTGTGGGGGCATGCATGGGTGTGAAGCACAAAATGAAAACGATGGTATTAAAATGGGGGCTTATACGAAAAAGAAACAGGGGCTTCCGGACCAGTACGGCTGAACTGAAGCCGAAGCAAGGGAAAGGAGAAAGAAAAGCCCAAGTCTCAAAAGCCACCCCGACTCTTCCAAACTCAAACATCACATGGAATAGATTTTGGATTCCATAATATTAACTGATTTCTGCTTTCCCCAAGTGGAAACAATTGGTTTTAAGTTAGCTTTTTTTCTTCAGTTTGAGTCCAATACAACTCACGTCTCCTTTGGAAACTTGAATAAAATATTCTCCTTTTGATAAACACAAGCTATCCTGATTTATTAGATACTCGTCCCTGTTTGGGATTCTCAAAACCCTGTCAAGTAGCACCGTGGCTGTGACCGTTCTTACAACTTGGTGATCGGAGCCGGTGAGGGACGAAGGAAGTATGGTACACTGCTAAGTCTGAGGGGACTCAGATGAAAAGGAAACTATCATTTTAAAACAGAACATCACTGGGGCTTATGAGCGGTACTTACTTCAAGTTTTGATTTAGGTCAGACTAAAGGATGTATTTTTTTTTTTAAAGATTTTATTTATTTATTTGACAGACAGAGATCACAAGTAGGCTGAGAGGCAGGCAGAGAGAGAGGGGGAAGCAGGCTCCCCGTGGAGCAGAGAGCCCAATGCGGGGCTCGATCCCAGGACCCTGAGATCATGACCTGAGCTGAAGGCAGAGGCTTTAACCCACTGAGCCACCCAGGCGCCCCTAAAAGATATTTTTTAAATAAGAAAAAAACGTGCAAGGATAAGAATAAATGAAAACACATCTCTAATACTCAAGCTTCAGATGAACCCCAGCACATTAAGAAGACCATTTCCTTATAAGGTTTCAAATGTTATCTGAATGTGAGAGTATATTAAGGAATTAAATACCAGATTTATTATAGTGTGTCATTCTGCTTACGTCTTAACTGCACACAGCTTGAGATAACCTATCGATGGAGCACACAGTGACTCCAGAAATACAGGGTGAGAGTAAACGTGCAAGAGTTTAAAATATGAACATCCAGAGAAGGCCTTAAGATGAACAGAATGTGAACTTTCTACCAGCAAGATCTAGAATAAAAAATTCAGACAGCCAATTATTTCTAAAACAGGCAACACTTCCCCAATGATCTGATTAACACCCTACTTTCTCTTACACACGGATTTGAAAACGAAGGCTTTATAACGTGACTTACCTCTGAATCCGAATCCTTACTAGAAGGCTGAGAAAGTTTTGATGCATTTACACCACGTGGCGAGAATTCTGCACTTTCCCGAGACTGCGGAGAGCACCCCGCGGGCCGTAAGGGAAGGGCTTCATCACCTGACCCATCGCACTGTAACTGCGACCCAGGGGACACTTCCCTCTGGCCAGGAGGAGCGGTGGGGGGATCGGTCCTCCTCCGGAACCGCTGCAACGCTGCGCTTGGAGAGGGGCTTGGAGTTCGTGAAAAGTCCCCAAGACTTCCAGACCAACTGAAACAATTTCTGAGTGTCCCCAGAGTGGGTGGTGAAATGGTCCTGGTGAACCTGCTGGTCTCAGAAGACTGAGACTCCCTGTCAGTCGTCCCAGCTCCGCTGTCTGCCGTCGGACCACCTGAGCTAAGGGCTCCGTCTGACCCAGCCAGGGCCCTGCCATCTACACGCTCTGACTCACTTCCTGCCTCCTCCTCCAGGACGGCGCTTTCCTGCAGGCACTCGCTGCTTGCTTCCACTGATACACAGTCGACAGAATCCGGAGAACTGCAAAAAAACCTACCAGAAAAAACAACAGAAAGAACCTATAAATATTTTAGAGCTTTCTCACAAAGGTGATTAGGATTCAGAAAATGAAAACTGGCCTAGATTCTTTAAGAAAAATCTCATAAACATAATTTGGGATGCCTGGGTGGCTCAGTTGGTTAAGCAGCTGCCTTCAGCTCGGGTCATGATCCCAGCATCCTGGGATCAAGTCCCACATCGGGCTCCTTGCTCGGTGGGGAGCCTGCTTCTCCCTCTGCCTCTGCCTACACTCTGTCTGCTGTGCTCGATCTCTCTCTCTCTCTGACAAATAAATAAAATCTTAAAAAAAAAAAAAAAATCTCATAAACATAATTTCATAAATAAAGACAAAACAGATCTTGAAAGCTTAAATTTCGGTTATACCAACATTCACACATTTAGGAATTTATTTACACAATGAATTTGTAGATAGGATTTCCTAAAAGCAGTCATCTCTACATATGTGTACTTGGAACTTGCATATTTCTTCTATATCTAATTGTCACATAGGTCTTTCCCCTCGAACCTTTATTTAATAAACTCCCGGACAGACTAGCAGCTCCCCGAGGACAGGTACCATCCACAGCATCTACACTAGTGGCTAACATATGGCTGACAGTCAAATATTTGAAGAGTTACAGAAATATGCAACGGAGGGGAACAATTTACAACTACTGTCTCTTACTTTGTAAAAGCAAAATGAAATTAGCTACTTATTCTTTATCTTAGCTTATTTCCTAGTAGCAAATCATCTGGGAACTTGTAGTGGTATGTACTCTACCAGCTTTTAAAATAAATACTCTATAAATTTACACTAGTGTAAATACGGAGTTATGACTTTCACATCTATCATACAATTCTGTATTAATAAGAGGTATTACTTAGTGTGGCAGCTTTAAAAAATCACTTATAAACATTCCAATATAAAAGAAAGAACAATATATCATTATGGAGAAGATGTACTTGGAGAATTCTGAGGTTAAAAAGGAAATTCTCAGGGGCGCCTGGGTGGCTCAGTCAGTTAAGGGACTGCCTTCGGCTCAGGTCATGATCCCACGGTTCTGGGATCGAGACTTGCATTGGCTCCTTGCTCAGAAGGGAGCCTGCTTCTCCCTCCGCCTGCCGCTCCCCATTTGTGCTCAGCAACCCCTCTCTTTCTGACAAATAAAATCTTAAAAAAAAAAGGAAATTCCCAGAGTATATGATCAGATAAATATGAAACCTAAAGAGAATTTACCTCCTTCTAAGCATCAGTTCAAATCCAAAATGATAAACAATATTTACTACATGCTGGAGAGAAAGAAATCCTCTCCATCCTTTATCAAATCCCCAGCCGAGGTGTGGGTACAAGCCAGGAAGGGAGCGGGCCATGGCTAGTCACATTAAGCACAAAACAGAAGCTTCCAGGTCTGAGCACATAATTCATTTTTAAGTAAGTCAGAAGCTCTGCAATATCCAAACAGTCTTCCAGATAGGATTTCATGGGTAAGAGAAGTTATAGTGACAGTGTCCAATGTTATAAAATTACTCAGCTAGAAATTTAAGAATTAAAACCCAGAACCGCTCCCACATCATGGCTACTTCTTCCCAATTAGCCTACAGTGTTGCTTAATGGATATTTCTATTTCTAGGTCTCAAAAGATAAAACGGCATGGTTCTAGGATAAGTATCTATTTCCTAAAGAAGAGTTAAAGCAGAATTCCAAAAATGCAGATGGGATGGAGACAACCTTTGGCATATTTAATAGCTCCTGTTGCATTACATTAATGTGGCAGGTAATATTAAATTTAAATCACATTACAGAGTGGGTGATGATAAATTCTCCCATATATATATTGGGGACGGGGCACTGTGTCAGGTGCTTGATATATTTCTGCGGGTCTCCAGAAGAGCCTCCAGTATCTGATCGTTCATATTTTATAAAGAAGCTCAGGGTAATTCACACCCCTCAACTAATTCAGTGACACAGTGAGAATTCACATCCAGGCCAATGAGACTGTTTGCTCCTTTTGATCCAACTTGCTGAGGGAGACTAGGAAACTCTCTGTCGCCGGTACTAACTATACCCCCCGGGGAAAGTGGTTTAATCTCGCAGAGCCTCAAGGTCATAACCCAAAATAGAGACAATAATAATAGTGACCCTGAATATCTTATAATTTTGCCATGAGGAATAAGAAAGTATATTAAACAACTTCATAAATTAGCTAAAAAACTAATTTAATCATATCTAATCATATCTAGTTACTAGATGTTGCTATACCACCAGATCAGAAACTTCTACATCAGGGGGCGCCTGGATGGCTCAGTCATTAAGCAGCTGCCTTTGGCTCGGGTCATGATCCTAGGATCCTGAGATCGAGGCCGGCATTGGGCTCCCTGCTCAGCAGGAAGCCTGTTTCTCCCTCCCACTCCCCCTACTAGTGTTCCCTCTCTTGCTGTCTCTGTCAATTAAATAAATAAAAATCTTTGGGGCGCCTGGGTGGCTCAGTCGTTGGGCATCTGCCTTCGGCTCAGGTCATGATCCCAGAATCCTGGGATCGAGCCCCACATCAGGCTCCCTGCTCGGCAGGAGGCCTGCTTTCCCTCTCCTAGTCCCCCCTGCTTGTGTACCCTCTGTCACTGTGTCTTTCTGTCAAATAAATAAAATCTTTAAAATAAATAAATAAAAATCTTAAAAAATAAATAAACATTCTATATCAAAGACTTACAATTATTATATCACAGGAAACTGATGGAGAAAAAAAACGCATTTCTCCAAGGATCTCTTCACAATTTATCAGTGACACATCTACCTAAACTACAGAGAGTGGACACAAGCCGCTTTGCATGGATATCCCAGAGTAAGCTTGTGTGGTGACCGGGCTAGTCATGTGGACATAAGCAAACGTGGCCCTCATCAGTTGTCCTCAGAGAAGAGCTGGACATCAAGGGGCAGAAAAGGGAAATTTTACTTTCATCCACTTGGAAAAATGAAACGCAAGTTCCAGGGATTTCTGCCAGTGAGGAGAGCCAACTTTCCAGAAGGCAGTAACTGGCACGTTTCAAGCCGCCTTCTCCATCACTGCAGCCTCCTCTCTCAACATTCCGCTGGTAATAAGCACCTTCAACGAGAGGGACTAGAAAAGGCCGAATCAGAATGATCATTTAACCGGGATGGGAGTGTTTCCTTGCAAAGGCCCGATGGGAGACGGGTCTGAAACGCCACCTACAGTGAGGTTCGGGGATGACCGACGGTTGATTCCTTCACAACCCCCTCCCAGGCTCACAGTTAGACTGGCCGCAGCCTGGTTGAGGAACACATCCATTCTGGGTCTTTCAGAGGAGTTCGGGGGCTGACCAGCTTTCTCTCACGGCCGCTAGGTCAGGCCCAAGTACCTTCCGACACTGCCACCTCCTGCTGCTCGGTGTGGTTCCCATCCCGGCCACAGAGGAGGAGCTATTCCCTGCGCGTTTACCAGCCGTCAGGTACTGTTTCAGGCACATTTATGTAGAGTCAAAATGTAATCCTTTCGATGGCCCTGAGGTTGTCCTAACTGTTGGCCCCATTTTTCAAAAAGAGGAAACTGAAGCCCCCGGAAATGAACCTGTTGTCAAACATCTCATGAGTGAACAGGACAGGACTCAAATCCAGGTGGTCCAACCCCAGGGTCCCAACTCCTGAGCCCTGCATTACACCGACTCTGCAATCTCATCGCCACTCACAGGGACTACAGAACAGCCAAACCGATCTTCCTGCTCCCCTTTAGGCCTTGTAGAAGCCATCCTTCACGGCACACTTGGAACGGTCTGTCACAGACAGGAATTGAATCAGACCCTCCCCGGATTAAAATCCTCCAAACAGCTCCTCTCACCTCTAGAAAGCCTAGAAGTTCTTTGGCCTGGCTTACAAACCTTCCACAAACTGGCCACCCATTTCGGCTCCGTCAGCATCCTTTGGCAGACTTCCATTCTGGCCAGAGCAGAAACAGGAGCGGCCCCCAGGCTCCATGCCTCTGCCCACGGGAAGGTAGAGGCTCTGATCTTTGTAATGGCACCTGACACCTGTCCCTTCCTGCTGACCTTTCCATCCACACTATCGGCTTCTCAACAAACACTCTCACTTTGTAAGCCAACGCCTAGTATAGTATTAGGTTCTCAATTAACATGAGAACTTCAGCGTCTGCATTTGAGTGTATCTGTAGAACTATGCTGGGGGCGCCCGGGCGGCTCGATCCGTGGAGCCTCTTGACTCTTCGTTGTCAGCTCAGGTCATGAACTCAGGCTCCCTGCTCAGCGGGGTTCTGCCTGGGAGTCTCACTTTCCCCTCCCTCTGCCCTTCCCCCCAACTCGATTTTCTCCCTCTCTCTCTAAAATAAATAAAGCTTAAAAAAAAAAAAAAACAACCAAAAAACTACTCTGGCAAATTGTTTTTTAGCTTTAAAAAAAAAACCAGTAGAAACAAAAAAGCAAAGGACCCTCGAAAACCACAGTTTTTCTCATGCGAACTAGAAGTTACAATTCTTATTATGTTCTTATTATCTTACAATTCTTATTATCTCTTAGTATGAAGAGATGTTCAAGAGACCAGAGGTGCATTTCAGTCCGGACTCGGACGACACGTGACACAACCAGGACACGGCCCAAGCTGGGCTCCACACACACAACCCAGATTTGGCGTTTCTGTAAGACAACCGGAATCAGGACCGATGGAGTAGGTGACACAACAGACACACAACACCACGTAGATGAACTGCACCTGCTTCTGGTCCCTGGGACCACAACAGCTCCACTGTCTTCATTTTTCCTCCGTAAAAACGCCGCAAATTTATTTCTCGTTGCAGGTGCTGCGCTCCCGTTTTTTCTAACGGTACTTCCATTCGTCAGGTCGGGCGGGAGCATTTCTGAAGGGTTCAAGGATTTAGGATCTTCATAGTTATTTCTCTTGGTCTTCTTCGTCAAGGAAAGGGAATACTGACTCAACAGGTCGTCTTCTGACAGCTCTTCTAAAGAAAAACAAAATGGACTGTAAATCCCTGTTCTGTGGGGAGACGCAGCCTTGACGTTATAGTCCACACCTCACTGTCCCAAGGACGGAGTCTTACTAACAATGTAGCCCAAATGAGATACGAGAAGGAGTCAAAAAGAACAAAACAAATCCCTTAGCTGTGTTTTACAATTTCACAGATTAGTTAACATTTAATGTCAATTCTTTGTATGATTTAATGTGAAATTACTGAAACCAAAATTTCAGGATACAATCAATTCTGTAAGTCTATACACTTCTGATACTAAAGGCTTCATTTTGATTAAAAAAAAATTTAAGGCGATTTATATGTCGATGTATGATTTCCTGTTCGAATTTTCAAAAGTTCTAACACAACCAGCAGCCACTTATAGACACAACCGCTACATTACGGCCTTGGAAGTATATGTGACTGTCACGTGGTGAAGAAATCTGTGCTCTAGTTCGGACCCTCATTACCTTGCTTGAAATCAGTCCCCCTACAACTAGAAATTTTCAGCCTGAACAGCTCCCCTTCACGCGGGCGTGAGTGCTCACTGCCCTTGGAGATCAGTGAAAGGGCTGGGGTACCAAATACTACAGACAAGAAGAAGAACATCCCTTAAATTTAAAAATACAGATTTTTAAGAAGATAAAAATTTGATTTTATTTATAAAAGTCTTAATTTGTTTATTATGCGGAGAATTGTGAGCCCTTAGGGAAGAAAACATAAACATTGCAGGATCCTCGGCCAGGTTTCTCCAAGCAGCAGCCCCACCAAGCTAACCGCATTTTCCTTCTGTGATACGGCTGTTAGGCTAGTATTTGGGGGAATTCCATGGGTTTAGATGTGGAGCAGGACACTTCGGTGTCTCTCATATTATCCTAGTGGACAAGGCAGAGCAAAGTAACAGGATATTAGTTTCGTAGAACTGCAGCAAATTGAAGTGCCCAGAAAGACCACAGGCGACTAGCACTGCGAACGGCCTGGAATCGAGCCTAAGTGTGCTCAACGTCCGTACCTTAAACATGACATAAGCAAACACGTTTTATTCATAACTCTGAGGCACCAGAAGTCATACTTCTCTCATTTCCAGGGGATACAAATAATGCCCATCTATTAGTAGACAACACAAAGATTTTTTCAAGAAGGGTAGAACAATTATAACGAACTGATTACATTAGTAGAGATAATTTAATCTACATTTAAGTTTAAAAAATATAACTGTACCTGCCTTAACAACAACGAGTGGATTTTGATCATAAACTCAGTAAATGCCAGCAAAATAACAGGACTGTTAACAAAAGTTATCTTAGTTTGCAATAATACAAGCATAGTCCCGGGTGCGTGCTGAAATAGTGACCCAACTCCAAACATTGACTGTGCTCCGTGGCAAGAAGACTGCATTTCAACAACCACTCACTGTAATAGTCAAACAATTACGAAAACCTGTATTGTACCCAAGCCACAACCAGGGTAGGTAAGCAACTTTTAGCTTGGAAAAGAAATTCAGGACAGTCACATGGCAGTCTCTAAATCCACAAAGGGCTGTCAAATAAAAGAGGAAAAAAGCTTACTGCTTTATTTTGTGTTTGTGTGTGAGCTCAGGGCACAAAAGCCATTGATAGGTGACAGTTATAACAAAGCAGACTGTGACATAGAGAACTGAGAGATAATGAGCTCTCTACGTAAAATGAACAGCTTATCCTCGTGGGAACAGAAGGGATGAAACAAACGTGCCAGTGTACTTGCTGTGCACCAGGCGCTTTGGTATGTTACTGCACACAGCGTATACGAACGTTTGTGAATAAGGCAGTACAGTTCCCATTGCGGAAGAGAAACAAAGATCCAGAGATATCACCAGGGAAAGATTTACGCTCATAAGGAATCAATACATTTTGACAAAACATGAATAATCTATGCCTAAATTTGAAAAATGAAAGCATGAACTAGAAGATTTGCAAAGGGTTTGTTTTGTTGTTAGACTTTTATTCATTCACGTCTGAGGGAAAGATGAAAGAAGGAACCAGATTACATAGTCTTTCTACTTCTTCTTTTTTTTTTTTTTTTAAAGATTTTGTCTATTTGACAGAGAGAGACACAGCGGGAGAGGGAACAAAAGCAAGGGAAGTGGGAGGGAGAAGCAGGCTTCCCGCTGAGCGGCGAGCCCTACATGCGGCTCCAGCCCAGGACCCTGGGATCACAACCAGAGCTGAGGGCAGACGCCTAACGACTGAGCCACACAGACGGCCCTAGTCTTTCTATTTCTACACATCTTCTGTGATAAAAATAAAACACCTTCCCCCAATACTTAGTATTCCACATGCAGAGCTTCTGTTCAACTTTGTACTGGAGGTTCCAGAAGACGAGAAGAAATAAGAGGAGGGGAGGAAATGAACAAATACAAAAAGAACGAGCAAATAAGTGGCATCTAGACTGGACAAGCGGAGGCACAACTGTCTCTATGTGCAGGTGACTTGACTGCAGAATCCTGTGGAGTCTGTGAGGAAAACACGATGAACTAACACGTGGATTTACAAGGCTGCCAAACAGGACATTAAAATACAAAAATCAATCCTATAGTTGACCTTTGAACAATAGGAGAGTTCAGGGCTGACCCCCTCCAGAGTCAGAAGTCTGTGTCTGTAACTTTTCGCTCTCTAAAAACTTAACGACTTGGGGCACTTGGGTGGCTCAGTGGGTTAAAGCCTCTGCCCTCAGCTTAGGTCATGATCTCAGGGTCCTGGTCCTGGGATTGAGCCCCACATCAGGCTCTCTGCTCAGCAGGGAGCCTGCTTCCTCCTCTCTCTCTGTCTGCCTCTCTGCCTACTTGTGATCTCTGTCTGTCAAATAAATAAATAAAATCTTAAAAAAAAAAAAAGTGGATAAAAACTTAACGACTACTGGCCTACTGCCGACCGCAAGACTTACTGACAACAGAGACAGCCAAGGAACATATATTCTGTATGTTATGAGTCATACACCATATTCTTATAACAAAGTGATCTAGAGGAAAAGAAATCATTAAGAAAATCATAAAGAGAAAATGTATTTACTGCCCCATATTTATGAAAAAAATTTCATATATAAGAGGACCTACGCAGTTCAAACCCTTGTCATTCAAGAGTCAACTGGGTTTCTAGCAATGAATAATTAGAAATCAAAATTTAAAATATCATTTGCAGTAGCAGCAAAAATCTGACACACAGGGATAAATTTGACATTACATGTGTGTAAGACACTAAAAACTGCACAGAACTGAACAAAATGAGAGAAGACAGAGATCAGCAAACTCAATCTTAGTAAGAAGTCAATTCTCCCCAAACTGATCTACAGATTCAACTAAATTCCAATCAACAACTCAAAAAACTTTATTTTTTTTTCAATTGACAAGCTGATTCTAAAATTTGTATGGAATCATGAAAAACAGAGAGTAGCCAAAACAGCTTTGCAAAAAAAGAACAAACTCATACTTAGAGTACACTTAGACTTATTTTATTTAATTCCAAGATTTTACTATAAAGTTACGATAATTAAGACCGTGCTCTGGCATAAAGAGAGCAAGAGATCCATGATACAGAATGACAGAGTCCAAAGCAGACTCACACATATATGTGGTCAAGGTCAACTGATTGTCACCAAACGTGCCAAGGCTACTCAAAGGGGAGAGGACAATCTTTTAACAAATGGTGGAACAAGTGGATTGTCATATACAAAAAAAGTGAACCTTGATCCTTACCTCACACCATATAAAAGAAATTAATCCAAAATGAATCAAAGGCCTAAATCTAAGAGCTAAAACTACAGAAGTTCTAGGGAAAAAAAAAAAAAAAAAAAACAGGAAAAAAAAACTTAGTGACCTTGGGTTTGGCAAAGATTTCTTAAATGTGAGCAACACTCACTAATATTTCAAAATGTGTACAGCCAGCAGAAATACATACCATTTCTTGGTCTCTTCACAATGGATGACTTCCTTGGAAGATTTAATCCTTTAATACTGATCACCTGTTCAATGCCCACAGTACTTGGATTCTCCTTCAATCTGGTAGCATTTGAAACAACATCCAGCTCCAGTCTAGGGCAATAATTCCTATGCCAAATGCTATTAAAATCAGACGACTTTTGGAATGTTTTGTCATTCCAACTCTGACTTCTTGACTGGGCAGGCTAAAATAGTAAAAACGGAAAGGATTACTTGAAGAAGGAAAATAGCCAAATCATTTCCCTATCAACATAAATTATAAGTAAATAATTTACTTTTTTGAGCAACTTCTGATGAAGTATCTGTTCTCTAATAACATTTTCTACTTTGATGGTACCACACTTTTCCATTAAATGTGTCTTGTACTCCTGGGTCTGTTTCTTTTCTAATGAAGGTCAAGTGAATTGTTAGCTTATTTCTAAGAAATAAAAGGTGAATCTTCTGAAGATGAGCAGTGCAAGAAATGAAAATACACTTGGAGAAAAATAGCCAGAACAACGTACTTTTAAAATGTGACTATTATTTCGAAACACAACAGCCACCAGTTTAATAGGAATCTGGCAAAAAGCCTCAAAACAGTCACTCGCTCTTTACAAAGCACCTGAAGGTCAAAGCCATAAAATTTTTATTTAAAGCAAGCAACCATCCCATCTCTAAAACCTCGCTGAATTTAAACCAAAGCAATCTAATTTATTTTTATTTTTTTAAAAGACTTATTTATTTGAGAGAGAGAGAGTGCACACCTGCATGCTCATAGAGGGAGAGAGAGGGAGAAGCTGATTCCCTGCTGAGCAGACAGCCTGATGCGGGGCTCGATCCCAGGACCCAGAGATCATGATCTGAGCAGAAGGCAGACTGACTAAGCCACTCAGGCGCTCCTAAATTGATCTAATTTAAAACTCTAGTTTCTATTTGACCCATATTTGGTGCCATCTTTAGTGGACAACATGAACAAACAGAAAGCTACTTGGGTCGACACTGAGTCTTGCATAAAACCTTCTCTGAGAATTAGTTATTGCCAGTAAGCACTGGTAAGCAATCATTCTTAATGCTAATATAAGTTATTTTCAATTACAACATATTTCGGATGACAATGATCTATTAAGATGATCGCAATGATATTCTAATAGGGCAGAGAGGCAATGGGAAAAATTAGCAAAGGTATAAAAAATGTTGGTACTTAGGGCATGATTCCACTTGACAAAAATCCCACCTACACTTGGAATCTTTATCGAAGCCTCTCACTTAAAGAAAGGATAAAAAAAAAATTAAAACAAGGTGATATTATTCAGGATACACTCTGAGAATTAACAAGGAAGGTAATTTAGAATATTTGAGTGAATGGTTATAAAAAAGAGCTTAAGCATAATAGCTCATGGCATTAGATCCCACTGATGGTTTTACTGGAAAAAAGAAATAGTCAAGTAGAAAACCAGCCTGGGAAGACTAAATTTTAGATAAACAAAAAGAATCAGTTTGGTACAATTAATGGTTCGTACAAAAATTTCTCTGTAAAAGGATGGCCATCTTAGTGAGCCATAACATTCTCCTTAATATCTAGACATATTTAACACAACCAACTATTTTAGAGTTTCTGAGACAAAGGGGCTAGCTTAAGAATCATTCCTGATGAAATTATAATCATAGCAGTACTTCAAATGTGTAAAGAAGATTGCAGAGTAAACACTTTCCAGTCCCCTTCCTTTGATTACCATCTCCCAAAACCAATAAGCAGACAAATGTCATCTGCAGTAAAATTAGGATATCTGTATGGTCCAAGCCATGTGAAGACAGGGTACAGAGAGAAATTTTAAGAACTTAGTAGGAAATCAAGCCCAAGTGTCTGCAGAAAAGAATCCCAAAGGGGAGTCAATCTCTCCTACACAATCATGAGAAAAGTTCAGGGATTTAAGGCACCAGGTACCAGGGAAGCCCCACATGAGGGAGGGCTAAGACAAGGATTATTTGACCTCACGGCCCTTATCTTCCATGTGACCTACCCAGAAACAGTAGGCAGCTCAGAAGATGGGAAAATCCATTTGTCTAAAAAGACAGAGATCAAATAAAAGGCCCCCCCGCAACCCGCATTCGCTAACCTCCTCTCAAAATGCAAACTGCCGTGTATACCCGTGCTAAGTAGAAACTGGAGGATCCCTTTCTGGAAAAATGGAACCGTGCAGAGAAAACAAGATCAAGCCAGCTTGTTGGCAACCAGATCACCCAAGAGTAAAGCCCAAGATTATAAGCCCGGCTTGTTCACACAAATCTCCAGTAGTTCCAAGCGTCTCTCAAAGAGGAACAACCAGACAAGAAGCTTCGGATGTTGAAGAGTCTTCACCATGAAAGAGAAAAGGCCAAAACAAGTTGAAAAAAGCCAATTCAAAGCAAACAGAGAATACAAAAGACAGAACATGTGCAAGAAATCGTAATTGATATTCTCAGAGAAATCCATGACATAGAATCTTTTTTTTTAAGTACAATTAAAGAAAGCACCCTTAGATAAGAAGATGATAGTAGAAAAAAATTCAACAGAATTTTCAGCAAAACAGAAATGTCCTGAGCTGCCCAATATGGTTAGGCCCTCGTAAGGTGGCCAATGCAACACAAGAAATAAAATTCAAATATTATTCTATGTTGTGCTCACTTCAGCAGCACATATACTAAATATTATTCAATGTGAATTATTTTAAATAGCCACATGTAGCTACTGGCTACCATGCTGGGGAGTACAAAGTTGGAAGACAAACATTTCCCAGAGAAAACACAAGACAGACATGAATAAGACAGAAAAAGTCAAAGACTAGGAAATCTAATATCTAATTAAGAGAGAAGTTCTAGAAAGAGAAAACAAAAGAGAAAACAGCAACCTGAGCGTAAGGTTTCCATGATTTGAGCTGATGAACGGAAGGTTCTTTCCGAGTATCTTTACGGATTTGTGCGCTCTTGCTAGCCCGGGTTGTTTCAGCTGTCAGTAATGATTTCTTTTCAATGTTCAACTGGTCCTGCTTTCTCACTGGCCAGCTTCTCCAGGCTCACCTCGTCTTCTTTCTCAAGGAACTCTGCTTCCTTCACATAGTGAACACGAGGACACTCTTGGGCCAGCCACAATTAGCCACTCATTACTCCGCGCACGTTGATCGCGTCAGCCTGGAATCACTCATCTATCTCATCCTGAAAATCCCCACTGATCTTTGCAAACCCAGGACACCAGTTTCCCTACAAGGAGAGAGACAGAGCTTGGCCTGGGATCACAGCTCCCCTATTTATTAAATGTGTGATCTGGGCATGTTACCTAATCTCCCTCTCATTTCCTCCTCTGTAAAACGGGAATAATAGTGCTGACCTCACAGGCTTGTCCAATAGTACATGAGTGACTGCGCACAAGCTGCTGAGAACAGCATTGAGAATGGAGGCGCCTGGGGGACTCTCTCAGTTGAGTATCTGACTTGGACTCAGGTCGTGATCTCAGGGTCCTGGGACGAAGCCCTGCATTGTGCTCCCTACTCAGGGGGAGTCTGCTTGTCCCTCTGCCCCTTGCCCTGCTCATGTTCTCTCAAATAAATAAAATCTTAAAAAAAAGAAAAAGAAGCATTTCTAATGCAGTAAGTGCCCAGTAAATGTTTGCTATTATTACTACGAAGCACTCTTCCCTTAGGTGAAGTTATGTACATCCCCCACCCCCACTTTTTTCCTGGAGCCTAGAATACATCTCTATGACAGAAATTTCCACATTTCTATATATATAAAACCACATCTCCCTCCCCTAGGCAATGAGCACCTGAGAAAGAATTATATTTTAGTTTTCTTTATATTCCAGAGCAATAGCTAACCTATGCTTGTTAAAGTGCTTAACAAATGCTCAGTCAAGAACTGAACTAGTGAGCAAAGGGAGAAAAGACCCAATTCGAGTGACGAGAAAGAAGAAACTATCACTCGGAAGAACTAGAAGAAGCAAAAGGACTTAGCGAGGAAAGAGAAGCCCAAGTTTATTTCCAAGTTTTCTAGTCTGAGAATCAGAGAGGTCATGTAACTGCTATCCATTCCGTCAACAAGTAGACGTGGCAAACATACTATAGCAGAGAAGTTAGCAAAGTCCTTGCCTTTATAAAAATTATATTCTGCTGGGAAGGATCACAGAGTAAACTACGGAAACACACCTTAGGCAGTAGTAAGTGCTGAAAAGGAGAAACGTCACTAAGGAAAGCTGATCAGGAATGACGGGACTGTGGACAGATTTAAAGTTATAGGAAATCATTTATGTACAGATCTAAGAAACATTCAGAACTATGTGGCTGTTACTAGAGATTAGGTTAAAGATGTGCGAGTTCTCTGCATAAATAAGGTAAAGTCATCAGCACTTACTTAAGGAATACATCAGAGCAGAAAAGAGTAGAGTCCAAGGAAGGAAAGAATGGTGGGGGAGTGTGTTAGGAGGGATATATGCAACTGGGAAAAGGCAGAACAGGAAACGGCTGAGACACAGCTCAGGGCCTATGGACTAATATTTGTGCAGTGCTCGTGAGTGAGCAAGAAAACAGCGTTTACTTCCCGTGTTTCTAGGTTTGAACCTTCAACCACGCCAAATGTCAGAGGTGAAAGGGTGGGAGACAAGAAAGGCATCAAATGCTACTAGAATCAGACAAAATGTTCATGTCTAAAGGCCTGGTGATAGATCATGTGGTTGCTTAATCTAAGGAAATTGACCAATATACCTATGTTCTTAGATAATTTCTCTAGCATCAAGTTGTTTTAAACCCACACTCCACATTCTGGGACACAGAAATGCATAGTTTATATTAAATGAAGATTTGCCTTTAGTCATAGTTCCTTGGGCGCTAGGGCGGCTCAGTCAGTTAAGCACTTGCCTTCAGCTCGGGTCATGATCTCAAGAGTCCCAGGATCGAGCCCTGCATCAGACTCCCTGCTTTTCCCTCTCTCTCTGCTCCTCCCCCTGCTCAAGCTCTCTCTCTCACTCTCCAATAAATTAACTAAAAATCTTTAAGTCATAGTTCCTGAGACATAACTAAAATGTGCTCCTTAAAAGTGAAGTCATGGGGCGCCTGGGTGGCTCAGTGGGTTAAGCCTCTGCCTCTGGCTCAGGTCATGATCTCAGGGTCCTGGGATCCAGCCCCGCATCGGGCTCTCTGCTCAGCGGGGAGCCTGCTTCCCCCTCTCTGCCTGCCTCTTGGCCTACTTGTGATCTCTCTCTCTCTCTGTCAAATAAATAAATAAAATCTTTCAAAATAAATAAATAAAAGTGAAGTCATTAAAAAAAAAGTCCTTAAAATGTTACCATAGCAGTGTCTGGATTGTAGTCATCAATCTGTTCAAAAGTGTTTATATCTTTATTTCCAAGGGCTATTTGAAGAGCTATGGAATCATCAAAATACCTAGGTTGGTAAGATTAAGGAAAAATGCCTTTATTGACAACTGAACAGTAATGTATAAGATCGAAAAGTGTAGGCTAGGGATACCTGGATGGCTCAATTGGTTAAGCGACTGCCTTCGGCTCAGGTCATGGTCCCAGGGTCCTGGGATGGAGCCCTGCATGGGGCTCCCTGCTCAGTGGGAAGCCTGCTTCTCCCTCTCCCACTCTCCCTGCTTGTGTTCCCTCTCTTACTGTGTTTCTGTCAAATAAACAAATAAAATAAATTAAAAAAAAAAAAAGTGTATTCTATTGTCACTGCGGGGACTGGCTATTTTTGGAAGCAAAGCCCCAAGTCACAGACAATTCCTTCCAAGGGGGACAGAGAGGGAATGCTCAGCTGGCATGCTCACACATCCGCAGTGCCCTCCTGGGAAGTGGAGCTTGCTGGCCCAGAAGTGCCACCTTTGGAATGTGTATCTTCAGCGACTGACTCAGTGTGTGTTTCAGTCAAGGCATCCTAAGAAATGAGCACATTATAATGGATAAGCCGCAGGTTTATAAACAAAATGATGCTCTGAATTTTCACCACACAGTAACTAAAATGAACAAAACATAAGCTTCACTGTATTAAAAAAAAAAAGGGGGCAAAAACAATTTGTAGGCTTTTTACTCAATGCCTCACTAAAAATATCACCATAAAAACATGGAAGTGCAAAATTCTACTATTCTGGTTCAGAAAGGATACCGCCCAGCGTAGCTTAGTGTTTCAGGATCAATGTCGTCTTCGTAAGCATTCAGAGGGAGGAGTTTCCTTTTGATGGGATCAAAAACTAGCTGATAAAGGAAGGTATTGTTGGCTCGAATAAATCCTTTGATGTAATCTTCTGGTACTATTATATTCATCTTAAGATAGTGTCCGATTTTCCTGATGACCTAATAATGGATGTAAAAATATTTACTGGTTATCTGCAAATACGGAATTGGGAATTCAGCGTCACCAAGATCAAGTCGTTCACATTAGAGGAGGCTGAGGAGACACAGTATCTATTCATTACATCTGTACCGAAAGCCTCTACCAGCAAGCATGGCCATTTCATATCACTAAAAACTACCTCTGTAACAGTATTTTCCTTGATTTCTCTATAATTAACCTGAAGAATGAACCTGTCAGTTACACACCCAGTTTACATTCCCAGGTGTGACATTAAGACACATTCCTTGCCCTCAAAGTCCCGTTCATCCAAAAAGCAAAATACAAACATACAAAACCTGAGAATTAAAAATGAAGCCAACATTCTAACTTTGGTTAGAGTCACGGATGACTAAAGCTGGTAGTGGTTTAAACACTTCCTCACACACTCAAGTGGAGAGCCGGAGAGCAGAGTCTGGCCCTGGAGCCACCGCTAGTCAGTGCCCACGGCTCCCTTCCCGGCTCTGCCACTGCCACTCCTGAGGATCACCCAAGCAGAGCGCGGCTCGGTGGCAAAATGAGCTTCTTCAACATATGCTAGTTTTTTTTTTCTTTTCTTTCTTTTTTTTTTTTTTTTGAAGGTAAAGATATCAGAGAAGCGACAGAGCGGTGACACAGGAGCCTCCGTTTTCTGGAGGACACGGACACGTGCTACTGCGTCAGAGGCAGTAGAGAAGAAACCCGGCGGTCTTCTATCAAGCCATGTGAAAGAGATTTACATAAATGTGCAATTCCGGTCATAATTTTTGCCTTTTCAGAAGACAGGGCTCCTTTTCATTAAAATATCCTATATATGCTAACATGTAGTGAATTTATTATTCGCTTTAAAATAGCCAACATTTTATTGGTTTGAATTTGAGTCAGTAAATAGCAGCAGCTATTACCCATTTAACAAAAATGTTGCCACCAAGAGATTCGAGTTGGGTGTAAAGGGATCCTGACACCAAAAAATTTGAGAACCACTACTACAGAGAACAGCATAGAAATTGGAAGACTATACATTTTAACATTAATTCTATCTAGGACATTTTGTTCTTAAATCTCTTGATACTGGTCTTCATTTTAAAAAGTTGCCAAAAGCAAAATTCTAGTGTTTTAGTCATTTTGTCCTTTTGAGGACACAATATGGGTTATCGACAGGATAAAATATTTAAAATTTATATTCTGAAGTGGTCACCTAGGATGTAAGAAATGCTCCAGAAGTTCAACAGGACAGTGGGTGACTCACTCTTACCTTCACGATGTCTGGATTATTGGCTAATCTTAGCACTTTGCAGGCCTTCGCTAAGCCGATCCCACGCAGCGAGGAGAGGTAGTCACAGCCCGAGAGAATGCACATATAGCGGAACTTCTCCTCCGTGAACACGTCCCCAAGCTGTCTGCACATGCCCAGCCGCGCCTGGTCAATCTCTAGTCCATTTCCAAACTGATCCATTTTTAAAATCACCTTCAAAAGGAAGGGAAATTTTTAACACCTATAAGGCTCATTTTAATGTTTCATTATCCAGTCCACTGTGATATTCCTAAGAATTCTTTCTTGTTCTTTATCATCGTACTGAGAGAGAAGAGAGATAGGCAAGCCAGATAATTAGTGTGAAATCTGCAAATAAGTTAAACTGAAGCATAGACGACGACAGAGAAGGTCGTGTGCCTGGACTCCCTTGTTCTGTCTCTGGGAGAAAGAATGCCTTTTCTGCACCTCTTACCTCTGACTGACACCCAGGGTTGTCATGGCAATCAAACAGCAATTCATACAAAAATCCCTTTTTCTTATCCTTAAAGTAATACATGTTCATCGTAAGAAATTTGGAGAACACGGAAATTCAGGAAGAAGAAAACAGAAGTTGCCTGACATTTCTCATCTATCACTGTCACCCAGCATTTACCCTTTGACAGATCCTTCTAGTCATCTATGAAATATACAGATGATATAAACGATATCGTATATTATAAATATGTTATAAATGATATAAACAACATTGGCAGTAACAAAAATGAGATCATTTTGTGGTTTTGTATCTTAATTCCCCCGTTACAATATCATGATAACATTTTCCATTGAACAGTTTTATACATAATTCTAACTGCAAAGCATCTGGTTGGTTAAGTTATTTAACTCACCTAATTGAAAAATGTAAAGCATATAAGTTATAGCAAAAATAAGAATAAGTCTGGGGTGCCTGGGTGGCTCAGTTGGTTGAGCCTCTGCCTTCGGCTCAGGTCATGATCCCAGGGTCCTGGGATCGAGCCCCGCATCGGGCTCTCTGCTTGGCGGGGAGCCTGCTTCCCCTCTCTCTCTGCCTGCCTCTCTGCCTTACTTGTGATTTCTGTCAAGTAAATAAATAAAAATCCTAAAAAAAAAAAAAAAAAAAAAGTCTACTCTCTACTGAAGAACTTGGATAAAACAATAAAACCTTCTAACCTTAAGGGCTTATTCTGAAAAAGTGTCCATATTACACAAATGTCAAGCAGCAAAAACTTCATTTTAAATAAAATAATTATTAGCATCATAATAGAGGTTAACGGCAAGTGTTAAATAAAATAGTGATTCCTGGAGAGGAAAAACCTTATTTCCTCACTTTATACCACTGCCAACTGCACAGAAAAGCAGCATATAGTAGCTGGGAGTCAAGTACCTTTTTACAGCCGAAAGCGAGGAGGTCAGAGTCCTCTGTGATTATAGCTTGTACAATACCAGCTTTGTTAAGGTAGGCCAGCTGCGCGTCTGCTTCGTACGGAGCCACCAGACAGTCTACTCCCTGGGACCGAGCAGCCTGCCAGAGAAGGTTGGAGTCAATCTCCAGCACAGCGTCTAGAAAGCACTCGACAACTTCCCATCTCATCACCAGCCCACATGTACTTGCTCGTGTTATTTTCAGAAATCATTTCCTTCGGCGTAAGTTTTCCTACTTCTAGGCCTAGCACATGTTGAACTAATCATACAGCCACAATGCCACAATCATATAGCCATCTTTTTAAAAAAATCAATTTATAGGAGAAAATACTGCTGTACATTCAGAGGGAGAAAACAATTACAAGCCAGAAACTTAATTATTTCAAACAGTAGAAAGCTTGCATCTTAAGATGCCTAGACTCTCAAAGCTTACAGGACATTTGTTTGGAGCTCTGAATATATTTTTCCCGTAAAAACATTTTCTTTTCAGACTACAAAAGTCTATACTACACTGTTTTGATAAAACTACAAATCACTGTATTTATTTTCCCATGTTTACTAAGCCATTTGAACAGAGGCCTGAAGCAGGGGACCTGTGGGCTGGGGCTGCTGGCCGTGCAAAGATCTATGGTGGTAAGAAGCTTCCATGCAGAAGCAGGCTGAGGAGACTAGGGGTCTGAGAGGTCCTGAGCCGGTGAGGCTGGTCTGACAGATCCCACGGCCATCAGGAGTGGAGGTGGTAAGTGTTGACGACTACACGGCAGCGGGGTGAGGCTGGCCCTCCAAGAACTATCCCTTCCATCTCTATAGAAGGTGCCCACCGAGCTCAAATACCTAAAAGGGAGGGCATCCCTTAGTCCTCAGGATTTCTCCCTTGGAGACTGTTGGACTCCTTTGCTCTGCTGAAAGACGCTGCTCTCTTCCTCCTGAGACCGGCACTTCCTTGAAGTTAGGCCTAGAATAATCTCCCTCCCTTCGCTTTCTTGCTCCTCCATCTGTAAATGACTCAATTAGTTTTGATGAACTTAGCCATGTTACTTTGGCTTTCTCACTTGGCTTACTTTAATAACTTCGTGGGCCATCACATGTGTGATATTGACAGAACGGGTAAAACATTCTCTGGCTTCTGAGACTTTGCCCTCACGAAGAAGCTGCTTTCCCTTAAGAAGATTGGCTTGTCGTCTTCTGCAAGGGAAAAAAAAAAAAATCAAGAGGCTGACTCAAGAAACCATAATTAAACGGTAATTCAAGAAATTTTCCTGGGCGGGAGTGTGACTCATCTGATAGTGCTTACCAAGTCCCTGAGAACATGAACCCAGATCTTCTGGGCTTCCAGGTAAAAGGAACACAAGTGATTGATTGATTGATTGATTGATTTAAAGATTTTATTTATTTATTTGACGGAGAGATTGAGAGAGAGCACAAGTAGGCAGAGCAGAAGGCAGAGGGAGAGGGAGAAGCAGGCCCTCTGCTGAGCAGGGAGCCGGATGTGGGGCTCCATCCCAGAATCCTGGGATCATGACCTAAGCCGAAGGCAGCCGCTTAACCGACTGAGCCACCCAGGTGCCCCAAAAGGAACACAAGTGATTTATAATACACACGTACACAAGCTTATCCTCAGACTTCCACAGAAATGCTTTATGTCAAAAGAAAATGGAGTAGCTAAGACACTTAAGAAAATGTGAATCAAGGCTTTCACACCATCAAAACGAACTTTCAGGCATAAAGATGTCCAGTTATCAACATATGAAGAACTTGAGAAATACTTCCTGTGAGCTTGTGGGATCTACTAGAACTAATTTCAGAAAAACCCAAACATCTGCATAAGAACGGTCTATAACAATCAAGAATGTGGTAATTTGTAGAACTAATACTAAATACGGTTAAACAGGGAGGCAGTGACAGCACACATTCTGACAATACAGAACTACTAATTTTAAAATGGGAAAAGAGAGAGGAAGAAAGAAAGACATTTTAACTGTTTTCAATAATCCTACTGGTAATGGTAGTATCAGTATTTTATTCTGAATCTACTGTTGAGTGTAACAAAATACTTATTTTGGGATAAGACAAATGAGTCATTATTAGATACTGTAACTTCATCCCCCCTGTGCCCTTGAAAATAAAGTTCTCCGTATGGAAGAAAGGAGATAAAGATGCACCACAGCCGTGAGTCTGAACCAGAAGAATCAGTCAGAACCCACGAGGTTTTGATCTTTAAGTAAGAGCGCACACACAGACACACACATTCCCTAGTTCCACTTTTAGACGGGGCTCCACAGATGAAGAGACCTGGAGAAAAGGATTTTAAGTGCCTCTCTCAATGGCACAGGGAAAGCTGATTCTACAAAGACAAAAAGAGTTCATGGGTCAGAGATATATAGTGTAACTTTTTATTGTTGTTGTTGTTGTTGTTGCCGTTTTTGAGCTTAGCAAGAGAAAATAATAATCTGCAATTAGAATTAAGAACATGGTGTGGGATACCCAGATGGGATCTGGTTTGGCTTAGTCCCTTAGCCATACTAGCTTGGGACTGTCACTTATCCTTTTAGAACTAACCTAGAACCTACTAACTTCTTATTAAGAGTATATTTAGTAAACTGTCTATTTGTAATAGAATGTGGGCTCAGACAATTTCAGATACACCTTTGCAAATAAAATTTTTAAAGTTCTGGCTTTAAGAATCAGAGCCTCCAGGGGCAACTGGGTGGCTTAGTTGTTAAGTGTTTGCCTTTGGCTCAAGTCATGATCCCAGGGTCCTGGAATCAAGCCCAGTATCAGGCTCCCTGCTCAGCAGGAAGCCTGCTTCTCCCTCTCCCACTCCCCCTGCTTGTGTTCCTTCTCTCGCTGTGCCTCCCTCTGCCTCTCTTCCCCCACTCAAGTACACATGTTCTCTCAAATAAATAAATCTTAAAACACACACACATACACATACACACACAGTAATGTGTTCTTTTTAAGTGGCAAACCTAAAAAACCAATGATGTAGTAAAGCTGAATAAATAAAAATACAGTAATGTAGTATGAATGTAGTAAAGGTGAATAAATAAAAAAAAGTAGAAACAGAAAAGTTATGGGTATGCTAATGTCAAAATAGACTTTAGGAAAATAAAAAGCATAACTAGAGATTAAAAGAGTCACTACATATTGTTTCAGTTACCACAAAAATGTAACTAATTCTAAACTTGAGTGCAACCAATAAAATCACTTCAAAATAAACAAAACAAAAGTGGACAGAACTATAAGGTAAATGACAAATCCAGTACCAAATTTTAACATACTATTCTTGGAAATTTTTGACACAAAACAGTAAAGATACAGATTTGAGCACCATAATCAATAAGCTTGACTGACTGGTCGATATACAATCTTCCTCTTAATAACTGGAGAATACACATTCCTTTCCAGCACACACGGAACACTTAAAGAAATTTGTTCAAGTACTAGGCTATAAAGCAAGCCTCAACAAATTAAAATTTAAAAAAAATTGGTATACAGACTACAGCATCAGACCTTAATGCAATTAAATTAGAGAGTGAATAGAGAATCAACTTACTCTCTTCTAGACTTTTCCACTTCCTTTTTAGAAGGTAAAGTACATCCATCAAACACAAGAATGGGCTTGATCCCATGAGAGAGCAACATATTTACAAATTTCATACAAAATCCTACATACCTGTGAAAATAGAGAAAAATGCATTTAGGTGCAGGGCACCTTGTAAGGTAATACTCTTGCTTTTTTTTTTTTTTTTAATTTTTTTTTTATTTATGTGAGAGAGCATGAGAGGGAGACTGTCCATGGAGCTGGGAGCCCAATGCGGGACTCAGATCCCAGAACTCCGGGATCGTGACCTGAGCCGAAGGCAGTCGCTTAACCAACTGAGACCCCCAGGTGCCCCTACTCTTGCTCTTTTTAAAACCAGATGAGACAGATTATGCAAAGACGAAGTTTTTACTTTTTTTTTTTTTTTTTTTTTAGCAAATGCTTTCACAGGAAATGAAAACTCTAATTTAGACTTGGGTTCAAATCCTGCCTTGGATCCTATGGTCTGCGACAGCTGGTGAGTTATTTGACGCTGTAAATCCTGCTTTTATCTGCAGATGAAAAGGCTTTGACATCTCTTCCAGTTCTGATATTTTGTGCTTCCAAATCTTGCCTTTTCCCCCTATATATATATATATATATATATATACATATTTTTTTGCTTCGAAAAATTTCCAATCTACTGAAAAATTGAAAGAATGGTACAATAAATATTGGATTCCTCCAACAATACATTATCGCACCCGAGGTACTTAAAATCAATAAAATATCATCCAATATACAGTGTATATTAAACTTTGTCCAAGGGTCCGGTATTTCTTATAACCAGCGGTGTCCTGGTAAAGGTTTAACAGCCAGTTCTGGGGGAAGGGGCGCCTGCTCCCTAGCATTTGTCAATTTCCCTGACACGAATATGTTACAACGGTGAATAAACCACCAACGTGGGGTCACCAAATGCTGAACTGAGAGAAGGTGTTATACAGCAAACTCGCATGAGCTGGCTCCAGCACAACGTTGCTCATCACCCCACCACCCCGACAGTCTAGGATCCAGACAAGGATCTGTATCACGTTTTATTCCAGCAACGCGATTAACAAAAAGAGCCACATTACAACTTCCCTCATTTATAAAGAAAAGGATACTTTAACGAACAGAAATAGACATAATATTAAAAGATAATCTTTTAAAGCACATACACTCATCTTAATGCAAGACTCATTATGTGGTCCTTCTTTTTATTGTAAACCAGCAGCAACAGACACGAACTGGTCTTCAGAACAGTGACTTTGTGCTAATTCTGGGCCTACTAGTGAAGTATCATGTAAAAAGCAGGGGAAAGCCAATACAAAACCATAACAAATCTCAAAGGAAATTCACATATTTTTTTCACCAGACAGAATCCAAACATCAGACCCCTGTTGCCGATATCTTTCCAGGTCAGTGTATTAGATCTATCTCATTCCTTATAACGGTCATAACGGCTTATCATACACTTATCCCAATTTTCTCACCTTTTCTGGTTAATATCCCCATCCAAAGGTGGATAAGAAAGAAAAAGTAAACTGTATCAAATGTGACTTATTAGCTGCTGTGAGGAAAAAAAAAAATTAAAGTCCACAGTACTTTGTAGGAAGTCCTGAAGCTTTTTAGTTCAATAAATTACTACAGGGCAGGTCTGGGGAATGCATCAATGACATCTCTAATAAAGGATGTTTTCTGTATTTTGGACAATTCTTCCATATTAGTCAAAAATCTCAGAATCCCCAAGATTACAAAAAACTAGAGAAAGTTCTTCACCTGTGAAGTGCTATTTAAAGAAACACTACAGGTAGAATGAAAAACTTGCAGTCTTCAGCTACCTGCAGTTACTCAAATTCAGTGGCAGAAAAGACATGGCCTTTAAAAAAAAAAAAAAGAAAAAAAAAAAAAGAAACCAGCAGATGGAGTGGCAGCAGGGCCCGGGCTCCTTCAGATCCCACATGTACTGTCTGGTCCAGGTCACTTTTGGTCAAATTAACTGGAGAAGAATGAAAGCCCGAAACATTCACCATTCAATAAAGCCTTTCCCTCTTTCCTCCAGGAAACAAACAGCATTAATACATTTTACCTATTTTTCATTGTGATTAAGTAAGTTACATTAAGGATCTGGGAGCCTTTCCTCTAGGAGATAAATTACATATCGCAAAAAAGAAAATTCATAATAGTGATCACATAGCTCTGGGAAATCTCTGTTTTGAAATTATACTTGCTCCTTTTTCTAATGTTTCTATGTTAAAAAATAGAGAAGATATTCGTCCATGGAACATGCCTCAAATGAGGTCATAGTTATGACTGGATATCAGCAAGGCCCACCACTCTGGGCCCCAAGTACAGTAAAGGGGAGTCAGAACACCTCGTCCCTTTGAAGCAACTGTTTTGTTTTGCAAACAGGGCTCAGTTTCTTAGGTAAAAAATAAAAGACACAGTCCTTGGTTTTTGTCTCTCGGTGTCTTAACACTACATCCCAGAATGAAGTCGCTCCTGATTTGGCAATGTTGTCAGTTTCACTTCTTGGTAAACCAGGCATTGAATGAAAATGATCCCAATATAAGTCTGATTCTTAGTTGGCAAAGAACTAATACGAGGTCCCAACTTACTTATCAGTAGGTTCTCCTTTGGCTAGTTTCTCAGCACAAGCAATAGCTCCTTTGTGAAGCCAGCAATACGTATCCACAGCTACTACCTGTCCTTTATACTTCCTCACGTGGATGGGTTCAGAAGCTTCCTTGATAAACTGCAGTAGTCCGTGTATCCCCATAGCGCCAACTATGTGATGTGAGAGGAGAAAGGAAAAACAGCAATATTTAGAGCAAAATACATTTACTCAAAAGTTTTAGAAAAATAAGAAAAAGAGCTCAGAAATGGATAGAGCAACTGTTACTGCTTGATATTTGAGAATCAAAGCTCTTCAATACGTTAAGTGGGCTCGTCTCTGCCTGGAAGTTCCAGTCCACGGTATTTACACTAATGTCAACTGACAGTTCCACAATGGTTTATTCTTTCCAAGTGCTTTCCCCCTTGGAATCGGGACATGCATTCCAAGCCTAGGCACCCAGCAAGTGCTAAAAGCGCTCGAATCTCTATCTCTCCAGAAAGGCATTGTTAAGATCTATGTCCTTCTAGCCAGGAAGAAGCCTGGAAGTCCCTTCTTTACGGAAATTCTGGAGCTGGCTCACACCTTTCTGAAGCACTACTGCTGACCCTTTGAACAAGGAGGGGGGGTTGTATGCTTCCACCCCCACCCAGCAGAAAATCCATATATGATTTGTGACTCCCCCAAAACTTAACTACTAATAGCCAGAAGCTTACCAATTTCATAAACCCGGTTAACACATATTTTGTACGTTATGTGTATTATACACTATATTCTTTAAACAAAGTAAGCCAGAGAGAGAAGAAAATGGCATTAAGAAAATCACTAGGAAAATACATTTATAGTACTGTACTGCATTAGTTGAAAAAAAAAATCCACGAATCCGTGGATTCTAACCTCACAGTTCTAACCCCTGTGGTTCAAGGGTCAGCCCCACTCAAGATAAAAAGTAAAAGCAATGGGGCTGAACAGCTGCTTAGCATTTCATAACATAAACCCCTCCCAGCAAAAATTAAGTCGGAGGGGGGGCGGGGCGGAGACAAGAAAGAACAGGTAAGAAGTCAGCCTCACCTGGATACTGTATCAAAGCTCTGAGCTCTAGGACAGCAGCGCATTCGCCAGGTCGTGGAGCCAGGTGGGGGGTTCTGGCTCTTAAATACCGCGGGTAACTCGGATGCACGTGTTCTCAAGTCACAACTGGACAAAGGCAATTAGCCTCCTACCTCTCAGATAATGCCTCTAAAAAGAGTTTCCTTTCCCTTCGAGGGAAACTGACGTAGTACACACCTTGGGAAACGTCTCCTCTAAGCTAGGTAAATACGCTCGCCTAAACGTCTCCTCTTCAGCGGAGCGGAATGACCCGGGGCCACACGGCGGGCATCATCTCAGGGCGCCCGCCCGCCACACGCTAGGTACGACCACACCGGCGACCTCCCCGCTTCACTCCTGTCCACCGGCCGTGCACGAGTGCCCCGCAAGCCCATTCCAGGAGACAGGTTTCCTTTCGCCTGCAAGACATCAAGAAGAAAATTCGCTTTTCCTCACTTAAGAGTCGGCGCTGCACGTGAAAGCGGGGCTGCTAGCTTGAGCAGCAGCCCTGCAGGAGTCCGGCGGGCGGGAGCCTGCGCCCGCGGACCGTCCCGCGCTCGGGGCAGCCTTGGCCCGGCCTGCAGCGCGACTCGGGATCCTGCGGCCGGGGCGGGAAGACCCCGCCGGACCCCCTCCTCCCGGTCCCGGGCGACCAGAGTCCCGAGGGGACGCCACCCTGGGCCCACGCGCAGCCCGCTCCGCTCCCTTCCCGGGAACGGTTCTCCCCGTCCGCTGCAGCGCGGGTGAGCACAGGGTCCGAAACCTGCTCCCGACGCCCCCAGCTCACCTGGGCCAGAGCACCCGAGGCGGGCGGCGCCGGACACCGGGAGCCGGGTGGCAACCGCGCACCGAGGGCTTTTCAATTTGCGCGGGAGAGCCCGAGGTCCCGCCCCAGCGGAAGTGACTCCAGAGCGCCCTCCGCGACGTCGGCTCCGCTTCTCGCGACCTCCGCTTCCGGGACCTGAGCCCCGCTCCTCGCCGGACGCCATGGTGGCCGCGGCCCTGCGACGCCTGCCGCCGCGCCTGCCTGCATACCGCGCGGCCTTCGGAAGGCGCCGGCGGAGCTAGAGCAGCTGGCCCACGGGAAACGGCGACCGGAAGTTGGTCGTTTTCGCTCTCGCCGGGGCTGCTGGGAGTTGTAGTTCTCCGCTGAAGGGGGCCTCAAGTTAGGGCTGCGGTGGTTTAAGGAGCGCGTTTGTGTGGGTTTTTAAAAACAACCTGAAAGATCACTGCTGCAAATTAGTCCTTTAGTCACTGCGGTGTGCACTTGACCCCAAGGCTCTCCAGAGACCCCTGCGCGGCGGGCTTCAGGGAAACAGAAGATACGGCTTGAGTTATAATATTCTATGGACCCTTCACGGAGACTTTGGGAGGGGAGAGGGGCGGTTAGTAAGGAATTCAGCTAGGAAGTGACAGAGTCGCTCCTGGACCCCACTCGTGAGCCCTCCTCTCTGCGGGGCCTCATCTTTGGCCCAGAAAGGCTTGAACAAAACACTTAAGTAGTTCCCAACAGCTCAAGGCCACATCCCCAGGATGCCCTTGGCCACCTTTAACGTGCCTGCCTGATGAACCTCAAGGCTGCGACAGAAGTTACTTTGACCCCGCCAACACCCGATGGCAGGGTCTTGTCTCCCAGAGTCTGTAGGATGGTAGGAGCCCGTCTTCTACACTCGCTGGTTCACGCTCCCAGGTGACACTCCCTTCTTTTTGTCATTTTCACCTCCTTGAATCGGCTGAGCCTTCATTCCGCGCCTGCCGCTCCGCCATTCCCTCTTTAAAACAACCCTCCCCCTGCCCCACTTCAGTACAAACCAGTTAAGAGCAGGACTGGTGCTCCCTGTTGCAATAGTGCATCACTGATTAAAACTGTCCTTACCGCTTTACCTAGCGTCCACCTTCATTCATCTTTGACCTAAATGGGGTCGGAGGGGGCAGGCTTTGTAGCCAAATAATGAGAATGAGCCCTATGGTGCACAGACTTGAAAGACGTTTCAGACTCTGGTGGTCACAGGGGTGAGGCTTCCTGTCCTCAAGATGCTCTAGACCTTGTATCTGTCCTCTTCCCTTAAGGATATTGTGATAAAGAAATTTGGGGAAGAACCTCAGACCAGACCAGGGAGTGTGTTCTGGGCCCAGGGATGAGCAGGAATGATGACTCCTACTCAAAGAGCTGAAGGGAAAGAAGCTTGTTTAAAAAAAAAAAAAAAAAAATGCTCCCCATTTCACTATCTGTACGTTTCTCTTATGCTTCTTTTAAAGTCTTTTCATGATTGGTTTAACATCTATCAAAACACATTTTACCTTAGAAATTGTTGGAACGGTGCCACTCTTGGGTTCTGTGCTCAATGGGTATAGGGCTGCCTCCTCCCCAGGTCTGGTCGTTAGAGCTGAGGCTAGCAGAGCTATCTTCCCTTGTGCTTCTAATGAGGATGGGTAGACCGCACCCTGGGCCAGCTTGGAACTGACCACAGGGTTCGGTGTGGGACAGTTCCCAACTGCAGGAGGGGAAAGAGGATCTTAAGTGTGGGCGGGGCGCGTGTGTAGAAAACTGTTCTTATACTCATTGGACTGCCCAGCTGTGGTCCAACCAAGAATCTGCCACATTTGGGGTTCTTAGGAAGGAACCCAGACCTTGGAAAGATGCCCAGCTCCATGGAATCCGTCATGAAGCGAACACAGGAGGTTGCTGTGCTACGAACAGTCCATACCTTTACTGCTAATTTGACTCTCAAGTGTCAGACTGGATTCTCAGCTGCAGCATTTGAAGCCTGGAACTTTTAGAAAACACCAGTTACATTTTACTGAACAGAATCTTTCGACTTTTTGGGAGGATAGAACCATTTGAGTCAATTCAGGCACTGACATGTGTTAGGTGTCCCTGTCATACGAGGTGGTATGTGGAACACAAAGAAATGGTCCCTGTCCTCAAGCAAGTTAGGCTCTGATTATACAGGTAAAACATGTATCCTTTAAAAAGTCAAAGAACAAATCATGGTGGTGTGTTGTTAAATTCTGCAATGAGTGGTATAGCCCCGAAGTTCTTAGCTGAAGACTATTTTTTGAAGTTTTCCCTAAATGCACCCAAACACCCTACAATGACCCCTTCACCCTGACATATGTTCTGTATTTTAATCGATTTTGTCCCTAGATTTAGCAAATACAGACCCAGTTAAATTTGAATTTCAAACAAGCCAAAGATACATTTTTAGTATGTCTAGGCAATACTTGGGACATACTAAAAAAATCCATGTTTATCTGAAATTCAAATTTGACTTGGTATTCTGTATTTTTATCTGAAAACCTTACCTTGGGGGCAAGGATTAAGTCTCCTAATTTTCATATCCCTGATGTTTAGCTCTGGTGCTGATAAAAAGAGTCAGAATTTGTGGACTAACAAATGAATGTCTTAGGTACAGCACTATGCATTCTAGATTTTTCTGGGCAGCTCTGATTTTTAATTTGTTGAAAGGTCATGCAATCCCAGTTTTAATTTGGAAAATACTACCTCTGTGGTTATGGAGTCAAGTTTTCTAAAATGCAGAACAGGGGTGATCATTCAGGGCCCCTCTGGGATGCCCCTCCACCTTTGTCTGATTTCAGGCAGGGTGTCAGAGCAACAGCTGAAGAGCATGTGCCCCCCCCCGACCCCGCACACTTAGACAAAAATGAGCATTTTCCAAGAAAAGAGGTGGAAACGGGTTCTTTTTCTTGGCAGGATGGGAGGCTTTTGCTCAGCTCCAAACTTCCTTCCATGCCATGGAGACCTGGAACCGGGAATGACCTGAGGTGCTGGGAAGGTCAGCGTTCTTTGTCATAGAGTTGTGGGGACTGCGTTTTCACTTCACTTCTCTGTTGAGCTCAACACGAATGTGTGAGAAGCAGGATGCTTACCGTGTAAGGGTGAAGAGGATAAGCAACAGTGTGGTTGTTGTATAGACATGGAACTGATGAGGGGAACAAAGGCCAAAAAAAAAAAAAGTCACTTAAATTAAAATCTCCTTCCAGCTTGCAGCCCAGAGACAGATCCCTGAAACACTCAGAATGTGACCTTCCTCAAGGAATTTTTGGCTGCCTGAGGGCCTTTATGTTTAAAAGGAACCTTATCTTGGTAGCAGCTGGACCCTCAAAGTCCGGAAAGCCTCGCTTCCTTGAAGACTTGCCCATTCCTAAGCCCCACGAATTAAAAAGTATGCAGTGAGTCACTCCTCATTCCTTGATAATGCTTCCTGCCTACAGGTTCTGTCCGTGAGTAGGGAAGAGGTGAAGGGATAGACAGGAGGGATAGGAGGACCCTGACTCCCCTGACTAGGCTCGGAAACTATTCCCGGAGAGGCTGAGACAGAGCTAAACAAGAGCTAAGGGAACAAACCAAGATGGCGGGAGAGTCTCAAGGCCACAAGCTTCCCAGTCAGTTCTCAGTAAGACTGTCACTAAAAGCCCTCAGTGGCAGCCCATTTGGGACCCTTCTCACCCTACAGAGCTTTTTCTTTCCTTTCTGTTCTTACCTTCACTTACTAAACTTTCACTTCACTTCACTCTTTTGGGTCTGTGAGAGTCTCTCTTCGACTCCGTGAGACAAGAAGCTTGCTGTCCTGCAACAGAAAAGAATGGTCATCAAGGGCTCTAGTTTACTGACTGAGGAACTTATTTTTAGGTGTCCGTTTTTATAGCCCAATCTGACTTATTTTTACTTCCATTTAATTGTTTTAAATTATTTTAATTGACTGACTTGTTTCCATTGCATTTTTAGTTACTTCTGTTACGGCAAGTGATACTTACGAAAGTTGCTTTTTAAAAAAAATAAGTTAAAAAATGAGTCAATTTAAAGAAAACCTATTAAGTAAATAACAGGACAGGTGTTTCTCCTTTGTGGCAAATATGAGTAAATGGAGTTTCCCAAACAGTCATTTTCTCCCATCTTTAAAATACGCCTTCAGCTTTTGTCCCATCTCTCTGCTTCCCTTATGGTAAAATGTCTTGACAGAACTGTCTGGGGCGGGGCGGGCGGGGGAAGAATTGTTTGTTTTTGCTTTCTCAAATTCTTCCATTCATTATTGTGTATTTTTTAATTAATGTATAATATACACAGAAAGATGAACAAATGCTAAGCCAATTATCCCAAAATAAACATAACATGTTACCCCCACCCAGCCCTCCCAGAAGACCTTTACTGGTTACTCACCCAGGTTACTCACTCATCT